CTCAGTGCCAAGATTTCCATTGCTGCCTGCAGAGTGTTGCCATTGTTCAGTGATTCCAGGAGTGACCTGAAGCCCAGAGCGTTCCTGACATCCAGTTCCACAACATTTTTTGCAGGCAGTCTGAGGTCAGTTGCACGTGGAATAACTTCCCGTGCTGTAATTGATAGCACAGTCTTTTAGGGAAGGATTCGGGGTGCTCCAGGCTGCAGCGACAGCTTCCAGGTGTCACAGGCCGTACTGCAGGCACTGCTGTGTCCCTGTGTGCAGTCAGAGCTCAGGTGTTACCGAGGTTCTTCCTCAATACAAAGTGAGCCAGAGAGGAGACCCCTGGTGTGCTCTCAGAGAAAATTATTAAGCAATAAAAACTTGATGTCAGGCCAGCTTTCTCTGCCATTCCTGTGCTGCAGTAGAGGCATAGCCATAGGGACCGAAGGAAAACTTGCCTTACAGAGTTTCTTAGCCATAGCTGTTAGGAAAGATAATTGAAATAAGTAAATACTAGGAAACTAATTCTCCATTTTGCTACTCTCAGGTTTGTTTCAGGGCCTGAGCATTGGTGCGTTCTCCCAGTACCTCTCCTTGACAGCAGAGGACTGATGCGCTTGAAACTTTTAAACCTAACCGGTTCATAGTGTCACTGTTTCTAGAACTCAGTGTGTCTTGAATTAACCCATGGTGCCAAGCACTGCTTGTATTGCAGCATCTGTGCAGCTGTGTGTGCTCTGGCGTGCCGCATTCTCGAAGACCTGGGAATATTGCCATGGCTGACGTGTGGCACCCAGCCAGGCACATGCAGCCTTTTGCCCTCACTACACGTGGCTGTGTCATTCCTTCATGGGCGCTCCCTGACTTCTCATTTTTGGGCTCTTTTCATTAAGCTCATTAAGTTGTCCAGAATTTCCCATCACGGCCGGGGTGCTGAGTCACAAATGTGAGAGTTACCACATAACACGTAGGGAAGGTGAAAAGCCTTTGTCCAAAAACCTCGGTGAATTTTCCTTGTTTGGGAGCATCAGTGGGGACGTGGCAGCTGAATTCATCCCACTAGTGCAGGTCAGGGCTGTGTGCCAAAGTGCTGGCTGGTGGCCCTGCACCATTCTTGGCAGGCTTTGAGCTGCTGGGCCAGCATCAGGACAGAGACCACAGGGGGATTTGGTTTGTATTCACACACCAAAGCAGCACGCACCAGGAATACATTTTCATTGAGATCAGATCCTAATACTCCCAGTGCTTACTGTGTGAAGACATTTCAGAGCAGAAGAGCAGTCAGGAAGCGCTCTGTACTCTGATGCCTTTCCTTTCCAGACTGGTATAACACCTCTGTAAGGCACCTCATCTTTCCATACCACTACAAACCAAACTATCGATGTAATTCGGGGGCCACCTCCCCTTCTCTGAAACACAGCCTCCCAGGGCGCAGCACAGCGGCTGTGCAGCCCACAAGAAGAGCACATCACTGTTAGCAGCAAGAGTTGAGTTGCCAAATGTGTCACTGTTAGTTCAAGCTTACAGAGTTTGTTTTAATACCGTACAGTGTAGAATTTCCATTGGCTTTGCTGATAGTCTGCTGTTCTTTAGCAACATTCCCAACTTTGTCCAAGACATGGTGCAGCCTCATTGGAGCTCACGGATGATTCTTAGAGGTAGATGATAACGTATTTGTAAATAATGCTTTGATATTAATAAAACTGCCTTAAAGGAATGTACCTAGGTGTGAAACAAAACTTAAAAAGCTCTTATTTAAAACTGTAATTTCCTTTACATATTGATTTTTTTTTTTTAATGTTTGCCATTGTATACATTTATTAATGATGTTATTAAAATACCGAACCAAATAATTTTTATCCTTATTTTGTGTATATATATTGATACACACATGTTCTGGAAACTGATGTTACTGGAAGGATATTGGTGTTCAGTGGTGGTTGTGCTCGGTTGGTGATGCGTTCAGTATTTCTTCTGAAAGGAAACCTATAAAACTGTAGCAGAAATGTTCTGGGCGCTGCGTAGTTTGTTCCGTGCTGTTAATTTGTAAAGACTCGTGTAGCTTTTAATATCCCTTATTTTAATATTATTTTTAAGACACTAATTTCATAGTAAATACGTTAAGAATTCCTGGCGGGTTTGCCAAACGCAGGATTTGGAGCTTTGATTTTGCTTGCTGGTTATTTCTGCTGAAACAAGACTCAGAAGCTCTTCTAATAGTGAAGATAGTTTAATTTTTAGGCTTGCAGATCTTCAGACTTGTGAGAAGTGTAGGAATCTGCTATTGTGCACATCTTTGCAACTTATTATCTTTCACATGTAAAGCTTTTTGGTTTAAAAAACTTGACCAGCTAAATTTATTGCTTTTTACTCCCCCTTTTGGAAGTGATAATTCACGAGTGCCACAAGGAATAAAGGGAAGGGAGAGTGGCAGTCAGAGGGCACAACAAATTTCACTTTTAAAGGTGCAGAAGGCTGTGTTGTATCTGCCTGTGTTAGAAGCGCATTTGTCAACCTGGAGTTCATTGATCAGCTCACTTAAAAAAATAAAATTGGGGGGAAATAAACTCTGATGGTGTTCTCAGCTCCCAGAGCTGTCTTGGCCATATCTCGTGAAACTGAGTCAGTTTCCTTGTGTTTTTAAAATGTCCCCTCTGTCGTTGTTAGTAGTGCATCCTGTAGCAAGATGCTGTAGCAAATGCTAATCAGTACCACAAGTCCTTCTGTGGTTTTCTTCACTCTTCCTTTTTTTCCTCTTCTGTTTCCACGTGTGCTCGTCCTGCTGCTTGCCTTTGGGCGTTTTTCTCACACCACAGCCATCTTCATCAGGCAGTATTTAAAAGCCCTTTTACCTCTCATCTCCAAATGTTGTTCCTGGCTCTGGGTACTTGTGACCAGTTTGGTTGCTGGACTTCATGGACTTTCTGCTTAAGAAAGCGTTGGAAAGGGGTTTTACTCATTTAGAAAGGAGAGAGGAGAAGTAATTTCATTAGGAATTCAATGTTGAGAACATGTCGGTCTGGTTCCTGTGATAGCATATACTTTTCTGTACTAAATATATCACCTATCCTAAGCCAAATCAGACTCCCCACAGCTTTTTGAACATCTGGACATTTGTGTGTTCGGTTCCCCATCTCCCAAAGGGAGAAACTCAAGTCTGTCCGCTGTTACGCCCTTCTTTCCACTTACATGGCACTGGTTACAAGGGTACAGTGGAATAGGGAACGTGCTCACCCTCCACAGGTTGATGAGCCAGAAGAAATTGTGCACAGAAGCTAATCCTGTGCCAGGTGGTATTTTCTTTCCTCCCAGGAATCAGCAGGAGATGCCACACCCCTGCAGGAAGCTGCGTTATTCCTTACAGCTCTTGTCCTGGCTATTTGCACTGCTCCCTGTCTGCTCTCGGTTCTCCTTCATGCTCTGCCACTTTTGTGGAGGCACGCTGTCCTAATGGGCTTAACACAGAAGGCTGAATGATTAGTTCCCAAAGGGAGGAGACTGTGAAATGAAAATGCAGCTAAAAATGTAGACAATCAAGTACAATTTCTGTAGTGCACCTAATTTTCTATTTTCTAGATGAAAATTAAGAAAGAAAAGCAACAGAGCAGGAGAGAAATGGGTACAGGTGAGAAAAAAAAAAATCCAGACACTTCTGTACTGCGTGTTGATAGTTTAGACCTTTTAAGTTAATTTGTTATTACTAAATTATGTTTAGACCTTCAAGCCCAGTACCACACACAGTTCTACTTCATGCATTTTATTATTTATATACTGCCTTTTCATCCTGCTGGATGCTGGCAGGTTTTTGCAAACAGCTCAAGAATATTCTGCTGAATTCTCAATAACCTGAGCATAGTATTTTTTCCACTGAGTGTTACAGTGTACAAAAGAGCAGGTCTGTTTTTCCAAGCTGTATTTATCACGAGGCTCCCACCGGTTTTACGCTATAAAATCAATGCCGAGCCACGCAAGCCTATTTAACATCTTCATCAAAATGTACAACGATTGGATCGTGACCCGTCCATTTCACAAACTTCAGGAAGTCCTCGGGGCTTAAGCCCATGGTGGCACAGTTTGTCATTGGATGAAAATACACCTTTTCGTGGCCGCCCTCCAGCAAGCCGGCGTCCAGCACAAGCTTCACATCTCCGTGGTCGCAGAACAGAGCCAGCGGTGTGGCACAGCCTTGGCCCACCTGTAGCTTCTCCAGCATGGCTTTCTCATCGGCGAATCTGAGGTTTCCACTTCCCAGGCCAAGTTTTTTTGCCAGGTGGTTTAAATCCACCTGCCTGTCGTGCAGGACGGTCACCAGCCAGAACCCTTTCTTCTTTTTGTCTTTAAGGAAAAGGTTTTTACTGTGCCCTCCTTTCATGTGTCGGACGTGGGCCATCATTTCCTCAACAGTGAACACCTGGAAAACACAGTAAGCGGAGCGTGAGGCTGCGCCCCGCGGGACGCCCGTTGCGTGCTGGCAGCTGTCCGTATTTAAACACTTAGAAAATACCCAGTGCGATGCTCAGCCTCAAAACCGTACCCTTTAATGAAGAAATTTTAACACGAATAAAATGACGTGCTGCTCGCCTCTCTCAGTCACTCTGTACGTGCAGCGGGTGGGGTGGAAGGGACCCCAAAGCCCCGCCCGTGCCGAGGGCTGCCCGTCCCCCGCCTCACGCAGCCCACAGCCCATCCGCGGCCACGGGCACGGCGTTGGGCAGCACTGCCGGAGCCTCGACGCGGGGCCCCACCTCCGGGTGTTCCGCGGTGGTGGCGGCGATGCCCAAATCCCGCAGTCTCTGCTCCAGCGCCTCCCGCAGCCCCGGCGCCGCCGCCATCGCCGTCCCTCACACCACCCTCACTCTCTCGCCCGCCAGGCGCGGACAAGCGCTAAGGCGCGACGTGGCGCCGCCGCCGTGAGACGAAGCCCCGCCCCATACTGTGATTGGCCGAGAACCCTGAGGACGCTGCGCCTGCGCGGCGAGTCCTGTCACTCGGCGCATGCGCAGAGCGGCTCGGCTGGCGTCAGGCGCGGGGCGGGAGTGGGCGGCCGCCGCGTTCCTCAGAGGTGGCGGGGCTGGCGCTCGGTGGTGCTGCTTGGGGCAGCTCGGCGTTCTCACGGCTCCCGCCTGCGGGGTGAGACGGTTCCTGAGTTCTTGAAGGAACCGCAGGCGTTGAGAGACGACTGAGAGCCGTGAGCTCGCCGGGGGCTGCCTGGGGGATGGTGCGGAGCCGCTGTGAGGGGAGATAGCCGAGGTACTGAGGGGGGCTGCGGGGCAGGTGGGTGCCCGGATAGCAGATTGAGTGGGAAGAGCGGTTAAATAGGAGAATTACACGGGATGGTTAGCGAAACGGATGGATAAAACGACGCGGGGTGTCTGACAGAGGCATCTGGGTGTCAGCTGCCAGGCCTCTGCATTGGGCCCGCACCGCGTCCTTGTCTCTGAGCTGGGGAGGAGTGGTTCAGGGGGTGGGCCGTTTGGCAGAGGAAGAATTGATTGGATGGGGTTAAACGTTAGGAGGAAATTTTACTCAGAAGGGGCGGAGGCCCTGGCAGTGCTGCCCAGAGCTGTGGTGCCCCATGCCTGGAGGTGCCCAAGGCCAGGTTGGATGGGCCCTGGGCAACTGGTGCGGGACAGCCAGCCCATGGCAGGGGTTGGAACTCAGTGATCCCTTCTAACCCAAGACATTCTATGATTCTATAATCTTAGAAAGTTACAGGCTTAGCCTTGAAAGATGTCACTGTGTGCATAGGACAGCACTATTACCACAATGGGGCTGCAGTCCTGCAGCAGTGGTATGGCTCTTGGAGGTGGCACTTTGCAGATTGCTTTTACTGACGGGGAGAGTTAGGTTGCAGCAAGGAAACTGTTAATGCAGCATAAATGTCCTTTGTTTTTAGGTCATGTCACCTGGGGTCGTGATTTTAGTAGTTCATATTAAAGATCAGTAGGGATGGATGGAAGGCTTCTAAGTTGTGATGATATTAATAAATCCAAGTTTGAAACAGGATAGTGAGAGAGCTGGAAAGTAAAGCCAAAAATGAACAGTGTTACGAAGTAGTTCAGCTTTGTCAGTATCAAAAAGCCAGCCTTGTAGCATTTGCGGTCACACAGAATCACAGACTCACCAAGGTTGGAAAAGACCTACAAGACCATCCAGTCCAACCATCCACCTATCACCAATAGTTCTCTTTGAACCAAAGAGTTTGAGGGACACCTCAACACGAACCCAAACATTCCTACGGTCGGACTTAATCTTGAAGGTCTTTTCCAAACCGAGCGATTCTATGATTGTATGATTGTGATGTTTGTGTGTTTTGTTCCTATGAGTGCTATCCTGGCAGAGAGCAGCTTTCATTGTGTCCTCTTGCACTTTCAGTGAGGAAATGAATCGAAGGCTGATACTGAAGTTTGAAAATCTGATCCATTTCCGTGGTGCTTGCAGACAGTTGCACACTCTTCCCTGCAGGGGAGTTTGCAGAGCACAATGGAAGCCTGTACAGTCATCTGCGTGTCCCACGCGTTCCGTTCATCCATATCCACAGTGCTGGCAGAGAGACAAGTTGGTCAGAGTTGCCTCGTCACCATGCAGATATCTAGCTACTAAGGAGGTAATTCACAAAACCCAGTAATCTCTGGTTTTATGTGGAATTTCAAAGTGCAAGAAATCAATCTGGGCATTTAATAACAAAAAACAAGGATGCTTTATTAAGGAATATACAGGAACTATTCTAATTTTATTTTATTTTTTTTACAAAATGTACTTATTTAAGGCTGTATCGTGACTCATTCTCAAATATTGACATGAAGTACTTTTACCAGCAGCATCATGAATCTTTCAAAGGCGGGAGAAAATGATTTGTTTTCCTTCTTTTGGACGATTGAAATTTAAAAACGACTGAAGGCAGTGTGGATACACATGTGAAGTGTTCAGTAGGATGTTTAAGTCTTTCATTTATCTTAGTGTTGTAGACAGAAGGACTGTTTGCAGCGTGCAGCTTGAGACCACTGTCTTTTTAATGTTGTTTTTATTACTTCTTAGTTTATGCCAGCTGTGTGTTCCTATGTACATGTCTAATTCCATGTAGGAGAAGAAAAAGGACAGAAGGAAATTACCGATGACCAAAGGGGAAGTGGAGATAAGGCAGCAGATGACTGTTGAGGAACTTGCAAGAGCAATGGGTAAAGACATAGGTGAGAGCCTCTCTGTTGTTCAGGATGCATTTCACTGTGGTGTGTCCATCACTCGTACCACCTTCATGAATGGTGAATTCAAAGGTATTCTAAGATGGTGTCCGTGGTTATCAGTCCATCACTTTCCAACGTAGGCCCGTACCAAATCACTTGTTTCATCAAATTTATTTAACCAGAGAGGAGGAAGGTGTTGGTAGGCATGATGTCAGGCTGAAGAGGAAAAAATGCCAGGCCATCCAAACTGTCAAGGAGGACATTTCAGTGTAAAGAAGCTGGAACTCTGTTCTCCAGCAGATGGGCTTCAGCTCTGGGTAGGCTGCTCTCTGGTTGTGCTCCCAGAGGGCTGAATATTGTGGGAAGAGAAACATTGCATCCTGCTTTGTTGAAGATGGATCCCTGTGAGTTCAGAGTTCAGGGCTAAGGAGAGAAGGAGCAGAAGAGCATCTGCGTGCAGTCCAGCCCTTAGATCCCTGCCAGGGAGCAGGAACTTTGATTTAGGAGCAATCTGTGTTCCATTAAAACAGTCATTTGACTAACTGGTGTCAAGGGTGGCTTAAGAACTTGCCCACGACACTTTCCTCTTCAGGTGGTTCCCTAAAGCTGGATTGCAGAAATAGGCTTGTTTCTTTTAACCCCATGAACCATTGCTGGCTGTGGCTCAGTTTAATCATTTTTCAAGGATGTTCTAAGGAGTTATTAACGTGCTTTGACCATTGACATTTGAAATAATTACACACCTTTATAATTGCAATTTCTAATCTATTTTATCCAGTTCAATACTTTTCTGCAAACTTCCCTCTCAGAAACAGAGAACCAAGAGTCTGTCGCATCTCTCTGTGTGTTTCAGAGAGATTTGTGATGATGCTGAAGTCCACGTGTAACTTCTTGATTATTGCAGTATGCTCTGTATATCCACTACCAGAGAGAGTGGCATATGAGCACATTTATCAGATTTCCTTCTTCCTTATATCACGTGAGGCCGTCACTTTCCATAGACTTTGCAGATAGAAGTTATTCCCTGATGGATCTGCCTCAAGCAAGAATGCTTTGTGAGTGAAACTTGTTGGTACAATCTGAGCTGCTCACAGACAAACCATCTTTGTGTGTTTCAGTCCCACGTGCTTTTTTATGGGATTATTAAATGTCTTTCTCTTTGTTTCAGATCATATTTATGAAGCCCTGCTGTACTCAGATATTGACGTCAATTCCCTGGAACCAGATTCCATTTTATATGAAGACTCTATCAAGCTGATTGTTAAAAAATCAGGAATGAAGTATAAGTCAGCAAAACTGAGAGAGGAAAAAGAAAGAGAAAACAAAGATGCAGTGAAACGGTGAACTGTGAACCATTCCTCCTTGTTCTTTTCAGCCTGTTTGCTTCTCCAAGGGTTGTTTGTGCACTGTGTTTTCTTCCAGCAGTGTGTAGATGGTACCTGATGTGGTCATAGTCAGGAAGTATGCACTATAGATAGTGCCACAGGTATTACCTGTGACACTGATGCTCAGATTGATTAGTTTTAGGTGTTTTTCTAAGTGGTCCTCTGAAGTAAAGCCAACTCTTCTTCAGCGTTCTGAATTGCTGCACTAATTGATGCAGCAGGAAGATGGAATGCTAGGAGGGCAAACTGTGATGTAGCTCGGATTTGTGGTTATGGTGGGGAGAAGCTAGGCTTACCTCTGCAGTGCTGGCACATGGCACTGGGTTAGGCACAGGGGGGTGGCTGGTGAACTGACCTGATGTTTATGAAACATCTTTTGTCTTGCTTGCAGACCTCCTGCAGACCCGGCGTTCTTAACTCCGCGGCCCCCCGTTGTTACTATAATGGGCCACGTTGATCATGGGAAAACAACTTTACTTGACAGCCTGCGGAAAACTCAGGTGGCAGCCATGGAAGCAGGAGGCATCACGCAGCACATTGGTGCTTTTCTTGGTATGATCCAAGTGTACCTGTGTGTGTGTGTGTGTGTGTGTGTGTACAATGACTTATCTTACGTCGCGGGCTGACTCGCTGACAGGTCGCTGGGGAAATATTGCAGCATACCCAGTTTATATGCAAGCAGTGAAAAAGGAAAGCATAACTTGTAACTAGAATAGAATAGTTCAGTTGGAAGAGACCTCAAGAGATCCAACTGCTGGCTACTTCTGGGCTAGCCAGAAGTCAAAGCATGTTACTGAGGTCATCATCCAGGTGCCTCTTGAGCACTGAGACATCTGGGTCATCAGCCTTTTGTCTTAGGAGCTTACCCAGTGCTTGACCACCCTCACAATGAGGACGTTTATCCTAACACCCAGTCTGGACTCTGGCACAGCTTTGTGTCGTTCCTGTGCTTCCTGTTGTTGGTTAGCAGTGAGAAGAGACCCTTCTTCCCTCTCTGTTTGTTCTGCTCAGGAAATTATAGAGAACGACCAGATTACACAGTGATCTGCTTTTCTCTCAGCTAGACAAATCCATGTAACTGTGTGGATGAAACTTTGAAGTGAATTATGTGTCCAGTTGAAATTAGACTGTTTTGGATTATGAAAGATTCCAAGGTGTCTTTTTTTTCTCCTCTAAGAAGAAAAAGCACTCTTGACCTCCATGCCAACAGCCACCTGTCTGCCTAAAATGTCTTTTATTTTTTCCCCCTGTAAGTCCTCAAATGAGTAGTGCATAATTTACGAAAGGTCAAAGAAAGCTATGTGAAATGCTAATTATAAAATATATCATTTATTCACAGTGCATCTGCCTTCTGGGGAAAAGATCACTTTCCTTGATACTCCTGGGCATGCAGCTTTCTCAGCCATGCGAGCGAGAGGTGCATATGTGACTGACATCATCATCCTGGTTGTAGCAGCTGAGGATGGAGTGATGCAGCAAACTATAGAGTCCATTGAACATGCTAAAAATGCAGGAGGTACCGTGTTCAACTTGTTAATGTTACATTTGTAAATGAGTGGCAAGCCACGGAGTTAATATACAAGGTGTAATGTTGCTGTGCAGCTCAGTACCGAGCACTTTGCACACCTTTATTCACCTCTCAAAGGAAACTGCCTGAATTTAGAGCCATAATGCTTGTGAAGAAACTGCCCTCGTCCTGCTGCCTTCTCCATGGGGAAGGTGTCTAAAAATATGCTGAATGTTACACTAACAACTAAAGATATTGAAATATTTGTTTCAGGATTTGCAGATTTGCCAGAAAAACATGTGTAGTTTGTAGGTAGCTTTGTTTTTTTTCTTTTTTTCCCTCTCTTTACTACTGTGGTTCCTCCAAGCCCCTGCTTAAGATAGCTCAGTTGCCTTTGGTTTCCTAAAGTTGCCTAGGGAGTAGATACCAAGTGAGCTGATTTGTTCTGAGTAGTCACAACCTGTTCTAACTTCCTATTGTAATTGTGCTGGTAGCAGTGAGTTTTTGTTAGCTTAATGATGGGTTTGTTCTCTCATTTTAGTTCCTCTCATCCTCGCCATTAACAAGTGTGACAAACCTGAAGCTGATCCTGAAAGAGTGAAGAAGGAATTGCTGGCTCACGATGTGGTCTGTGAGGAGTTTGGAGGTGATGTTCAGGCTGTAAATATTTCTGCACTCAAGGTAAAGTTTTGATCAAACAACCACTGATGGATGTCTAACACGTGCATCCATACACTTGTTTGACAGTTGGAAGATGAATGCTTGTCTTTCTGGTATCAGACACGTTACCATGAGCTGTTGCCTCTTCTCAGCATCATTTTGAACCTCAGATCTTCAGCGATCACCGTTGATTCATTTTTCCTTGGGCAAACTGTGCTTACTAATGTGCCTTGCAGAATGGAGCAGCAGCCCGAGCAGCCTGCCACGTTGTTTACTTTGCTGCCATCTGTGCTGTTGGTGCTGTGTTGTCACAAGTTCTGAACTGAATGGCAGATCGTAGTGCTGATTTCGACTTTGGATCCTTTTAATTTGTGCATTACCTTACTTCTATTTTGTTTTGTCCCATACAGGGTGACAACCTGACAGTTTTGGCAGAAGCAACCGTTGCTTTGGCTGAGATGTTAGAACTGAAGGCAGATTACTCAGGTCTGGTAGAGGGGACCATCGTTGAGTCTCGCAAAGACAAAGGGAAAGGGTAAGTTATCTGTGTTCTTTGCAACTTCAATGAGGAACTTTGTAACAGTGCATCAATACTGTGTAGGTGGTCCTTACCTCAAATTTTAGGTTTAAAGTTGTACTTAAAAAAAACAAAAACAAAACAAACAAACAAAAAAACCACATAAAACTGTAGCTAATGAAATCATAATTCTACAGCATCGTGTACAGAAAAGGCATTCCTAAAGTGCTTGAGACAAATCGTTGTATTACTAAAATGAAATCCTGTAAGTTCAGGAAATATTTTCAAAAAACACATCTGTTCTAGCATTTCAGCATCACTGAGGAGTAGAGCTGGCAGTGTTCATAGTTATAATGTCACGAATATGGCACAATCTGTAAAAAAAGGTCTGACATTTTGCTCTTTGAACTGCTGTAGTCCTTTTGCATGTTCTCTTTTAGGAAGGTGTGCTCTCCCCTCTTTAAAAATAAACTGAAGGCTGAGAAGTTGGGTTGGCTTTTGTTTGGTGGTTTTTGTTGGGTTTTTTTTGAGTGAGGAGGAGCAGGGATTCACTTCATGCAAAGTTACTGAAAGATTGAAGATGTCAAATCTTGTGTTAATCTGCAGAAATGAGGAGTGCAGCCCGGCTTTGGTTATCATTACAAGTCACTTTAAATTTTTCTTAGCTTGCTCATAGAAGGTGTCACACCAATGTTCTGCCTGTGGTCGATCACCAAAACATTTCTTTATGCTGACTTACCTGTGATAACCCTGGCTACTTTAGTTCATGGAGAGTGACTTGAATTTGGTCTGTTCTTTTTTTCCCCCTCTGCTTTCCGCTAGTCCAGTTACCACAGCCATCATCCAAAGAGGAACTCTGAGGAAAGGCTGTGTTCTGGTTGCAGGGAAGACCTGGGCAAAAGTGCGTTTCATGTTCGATGAGAATGGCAAAGCTGTGGATGCAGCCTCTCCCAGCATCCCAGTGGAAATCATGGGCTGGAAGGAAGTTCCTTCAGCAGGAGATGAAATCCTTGAAGTGGAATCGGAGGTACAGAAAGAACTGTGTAATGGGAAAGTCATACTGCAGAAAGATGAGAAGGAAGGACATAAGGGTTTTCTTTGTATGTAGGATATACATATTCAGAAAATACATACATCTTCTAAACACCCAGCATAAACTGGTGAAAGATGGGCATTAAGGCCTGAGTCGGGCTGTTTCAGAGTTAACCTGGGATATGTTTTAGTGTCTCTGCTTTCAGAAAGGCTGTTTTCTCTTTTATGTGACCATGATGTGGCTTTACCTGGAGAACAATCCAGTGCTGAACAGTATCTGTGTTGTAATTTTATGAGCTGGTTTAAGAGAAGAAACAAAAGGATAAAATGGGGTTAAGGGGGAGATTTTCAGTGCAGTGGTTTGAAAGGCAATGTTTTTATTTTTTTCGTGCCCAGCAAAGGGCACATGAAGTTGTGGCCTGGAGAACATATGTTGAACAACAAGAGAAGATGAAAAAGGACGGAGAAGTTATTGAAGCAAAGCAAAAGGAACACAGAATGGAATATGAGAAGAAGCTACAGAATTTAGCCCATTTGACCTGGAGACAGAGAAAGGCAGCCCTGTACAAGGCCAGCAAGCATCTCATGCCCTTAAAACCGAAAGAGAGAGCAGAAACGGACGAAAATGTGCTGTCCATAATCATTAAAGGTGCTCTCCTGTTCTGTTTACTACTGCATTGGTTCTGTGCTTCTCAGATGCTCAGTCTGCAGCATAGTTCTGAAGCATTAGCAAAACTTCAGTTACCAGAAGTTTGATCAGTTTAAAACTGAACAGAGTATTGAACATCCATCAGTAAGGAAAGCAGGTCAGTGGAAGTGCTGTGGGTGCACATGCATGTGTGTGTAAGCAGGCTGTTTGAGCAGCAGTACTGCATTAGCAGACCAGAGGAAAAGAACAGCTACATATTAGTTGGTTTGACCACCTGTACAGTACTGTGTGTGCATTAAAAGTAACAGCTGAGAAACTGCACAAACTTGACCTGAACAGTAGGTGTGGAGCTTCTGGCCCTATTATATTTATTCCACTTTTGTAATGAAGAGGCTTTTCAGATGTGCTTTAAAGTACTGCAAGAAATGCATGAAGAGAGTACTAAGTAGAAGATGTGGGTTATTTTGCACAGTGTAGAGTTGCCTTAATTCTCCAGTATCACACTGTTTATACGAGGTCAGCAGCGCTGCCATTTACACACACAGGTGATGTGGATGGATCTGTGGAAGCTATTCTGAATGTTCTGGACAGCTACGATGCAGATGATGAGTGTAAATTGGATGTCATTCATTTTGGAATGGGAGATATCAGTGAGACTGATCTAAGCCTTGCTGAAACATTTAATGGTGAGTGTATGTTTAAAGATAAATTTACAGTTAACAGTTTAGTTTCTGCTACCAGTCTGACATTGAGGAGGTGGCAAATGCTTTCGCTGACTTTAAGAAGTCATTCTTGGTGATCAGTTGCTGATTGTTATGTTTGACAGGTGTTGTTTATGGATTCAGCGTGAAAGCAAATGAAACTATCAAAAAGATGGCTGCTAAAAAGGGAGTAAAAATTAAACTTCACAACATCATCTACAAACTTATTGAGGATTTGAAAGATGAGCTGAGTAGCAGACTACCCCCATCCGTGGTGGAAAACACAATAGGTGAGTTTTCACTGAGTGTTCAATTACATTTTTGCAGCCTCACATCTATTCTCAGATAAAATGTTCCTGCTGTTATCAGATATTTAATACTTCTCTATAGCTGCTTTCCTGTTTGGTAAAGAGCTTTGGTAAGTGGAATAGTGTAACTTGGTTTTACTTAATTTTCTTTTTTAATTTTATTTTTTTTTAAGGGGAAGCTTCTGTTCTTGACATCTTCTCTGTAACAGTAGGAAAAAACAAAGTTCCAGTAGCTGGGTGCAGAGTACAGAAAGGGCAGCTGGACAAGAAGATGAAATTTAAGTTGATCCGTAAAGGGAATGTTATTTGGAAAGGTAAGCAGGATGGCCCTGCCCACAAGTACTGGGTCCTGTGAAATTAGTGTAAAAGGTGTGTAAGTTGTAGTTGTCAGATGTGCTATTCAGAATGGAATTATTGCAAGTACAGAAAAGTAGTGGTTGTCATACCTGTTCCAAGCCACCATGCCTGATAGAAAATCAGCAGCAGCCCAGATTCACCCACTAAAAAGCTCTGATGCCTGACTTCCATTAGCTGCACGTGCTCATCATCCCTAGGATTTCTTGCTTTCATTTTCTAGCTACACCTAAAATCTTAACAAGGTAAGACAGGGAACGCCAAGCATCTCCATGCTCTGATGCTGTTAGTGAACTCTGCCTCTCCTTTTCTCTCTAGGATCTTTATCATCACTGAAACATCATAAAGATGATGTCCAGGTAATAAAAACAGGTATGGATTGTGGATTAAGTTTGGACAAGCATATGGAATTCAATATTGGAGATGAAATCATCTGTTATGAAGAAAAAGAAATTCAACAGACAACTTCCTGGAATCCAGGGTTTTAAAACAGGGTTGGATACCTAACAGTAAAGGTGGTGTCCTGTTCCTGCCTTGAACTCTTTAACATTAAATGAACTTAGTTATGGAAAAAACTGTGTCCCTGTACCTGCTGCTTCTGTATTGTTCCACTCTCAAACCTCATCAAACCAGTCAGCTTATGTCCTTGGAACACAAGATTACACTAATGACGAGCACTTCATGTTTGTGAAACAAGGTACAGCTATTTCTGATGCTTGTCTCTAGCTTTCTGAGCAGTCTGGTACTGTACCATTTTTCAGAACACTGTCAGCTTTGTGAGGTCTGCCCTCTGCCTAGCACAGAAATGTGACTTCAATTTTTTTCTATGTCCTGATTTTCCTGGTCAGAACTGCAGTAGTACCATCTGTCTTCTCATTTCCTATTTAACAGGCCACTTACTTAGAAGTTTTTTCTCATCTGTCACCACTACCCCATCTTTCTAAAATGCAAACTCACTCTGCCCCTACAAAACCAATTCCGGGACTAATTTACTCACATTTTGCAGATGCTATGAAAAACAGGTCAAAAATCACTGTCAGAGCTGACCAGAAATGAGGAAAGAATATTTTGGTAAGCTTAGGAGTGTTTCCAAAATATGCATTTCATACACTGAATCTTAAGTAGTACACAGATGAACCACACAAGTAGAGGTGGACAGGACTTTGGCCACTGAGGCCTGCAGGATTTCATCTCATTTTTTTGGGGAGACTTACCTTAAAAAGGCATAGAATAAAATTTAAATTAAAAAAAACCAGCATTCTGCTCTTTTAAGAGCTGGTATTTTCACACAGATATATTCCATGCAGCAGATACTATAGCTCAATCTTAAATATGAGTTAAAAAATGCAACATTTTACCTGACAAACCACCACCTTTGGTTAATAAGTCATCTATAAAAAATGGTTTGTATTACATTTTCTCCAGTCACAGGCATTACTCAATGACTTAGAGAAGAAAATTTTTCTGGAAGATTATCTAGCATTATGATATTGCTGCATTCTAGAGCTACAAAAAACATCTTAATCAAAGGCACTCGTCAAGTTGGTGCTTCAGCTCCAGACTGAAATGACTTCACTGGAGGTGGTAGCGACATCCAGAATTTAAAACCCTTCTAGCTTAGCAGAGAGGAAACACCGTGCAGAAATAAATCCTCACACAGTCTAGAATTTGAGATTTTTATTGTCTAGTACATTTACTTGTCTTCAGGTTTATTGAAGCAGTATGTCAGACAGCACTTGCCACAGTAGTGTCTGTCGAAGTGGCTGGCCATGAAGACTCCCGCCCCGCACTCCTCAGAAGGGCACTCTCGGCGCAGACGACTGATCTTGCCGTTCTCATCCACCTGCCAAGGACAAAGAGGCCACACCTCACCTGCACTTGCCACATTCAGCACTAGTTATTTTCAAGCACTTTTCTTCTACAAAGTATTTTCTGTAAATGTTCCTCTGTCAGAATTGTCAAAGCAAAGTTCAACAGTGCCTGACTGTAGCAGTCAATGATGGGATAGTTGCAAATAGGATTTTAAATACACCTGGTGACACACAGGCTAGTTACAGGCTTCACATGCTATAACCAGTCCCTCTTGCAGTGAGGCCTATGCTTTGCCAACCCTCCTCAAGAGGTAGCTCTACATACCTTGTAGTACTTGAGCACAGCAAGTTTAACCTTCTTCCTCTTGTGCTTGTTCTTCTTGGGGGTGGTGTAAGACTTCTTCTTTCTTTTCTTAGCACCACCACGCAGTCTCAGCACAAGGTGAAGGGTTGATTCCTGTTTATGAAATACACAAAACGCTTTCTCAAGCACAGTAGTATTTAAGCAGGTTTTTTCTTTCATCTACAAGAGCATTTAAGTAGCAGAATTTCAAGTTCCAGCTAACTGTGAAAGTTCTAAAAGGATTTTTTGCCATTTAGTCTGCAAACGAACCTGCTCTGCAGAACCATGTGCTGCTGCACTCCAAAGCCCAAAAGGGCTAAACAATTTTTCATTTGTTGTGTCTACATTCCTCATTTCTATCTGAAACTTCAGAACAGTTTCATGATGCAACCAAGCTAACTTGTTGCTGAAAATGGTGAATTTTTCTTCCACTTCTGAGTAGCACCACTGCTCACCTGGCCTCACAGTGAGGTTAACCTGGCAGCACTGTGCAGCAATTTAAAGTCGCAGCACCAAGAGCCAGGGCTGACTGAGCAGAAGCAATGCAAGCTGTTGGAAACCTTTTGCTTCTGACCTGCACCTATGGGCAGCATCAAGCCAGGAGTGCCAGCGAGGCTGAGCGTGGGTGGAGCACCGAGAGCAGCACAGACACAGCCCGTTCCCGTGGCTCAGCTCAGCGCTTCCTACTCACTTTCTGGATGTTGTAGTCAGACAGCGTGCGGCCATCTTCCAGCTGCTTCCCAGCGAAAATCAGTCGCTGCTGATCAGGAGGAATTCCTACCAGCGAGACACAGCGAGAGGGGATAAGCAACGCGAACCACACGTGGATCTGAGTGAGAGCGGGATGCCAGAAGCGTCTTCAACTCACCTTCCTTATCCTGGATCTTAGCTTTCACATTCTCTATAGTATCAGAGGGCTCGACCTGTGGTGAAACAAAGCGATGGAGAAAAACAAACAAACAAAAAAAGCCCGCAACAAGCCGAGCACGCAGCCTGCCTTCAACCGGCCCGGCCCGCACCGCCCGCCCTGCCGCAGCGAGGCCTTGCCGGGCCGCCGCCCGCCCTCAGCCGGCACGGCGCTACGGGACTTCACCTCGAGGGTGATGGTCTTCCCCGTGAGGGTCTTCACGAAGATCTGCATGTCGAGGCCGGCACCCGCGGGAGAGAGGCGGTGAGGGGCGGCCGGGCCGGGGCCACGCGCGGCAACGGAGCGGAGCTCGGCCGCGTCCCGCTCGCAGAATGGCGGCGTGCAGAAAGAGCGGCTGGGCCGCACGCACGGGGTTTCAGCAGCGCCGGCCGAAGGGCGGGAAGGGGGCGGGATGGCGGGAAGGAGGGCGGGGCCGGGCGCACTGAGGGCTGCCGGGAGTTGGAGTTCGTGAGGGAGAGGGGCCTGGACCAGACGGGGAGGTGCGGTGTGTGAATGTGTAACTGAAACACCCACGTTTCCAGATAGATAGGGATGAAGGTGGCTGCCTCTGCTTCTGAGCCGTGAGGTAGTTTGATGTTTTGAGGGTTAAAATGAGTCTGCAGAGCGTTTACTAATTGTGTTTCACCTCATAGGGCTTACAATAGTAACGGCCTGACTTCAGTCCAGCAGGAATATGAGGCGTTTGAGGCTGTGCTGCCGTGCAGTGAGACGTGGACAGGCTGCAGAGGTGGGCAGGGAGGAACTGATGAGGTTTAACAAGAGCAGGAGTGGAGTCTGACACCTGGGGAGGAATAACCACATGTATCAGTACAGGTTAGGGGATGGATGACCTGATGGAGAGGAGCTCTGCGTGGAAGGACCTGCGGGTCCCGGTGGCCAGCAGGCGGTCCATGAGCCAGCAGTGCGCCCAGGAGGGCCGGTGGATCCTGGGGTGCATCATTAAGAGCGCTGGGCAGCAGGTGAGGAAGGTGACCTGCCCTGGTGAGGCCACTTTTACAAAAAAAAAAGTCCTGGAATCTGAGTCCACAACTCTGTTGCTGTCAGAGCACGTACGTGGATTTTGCTTTGGTTGTTTCCTCAGAATAAAAGCTATTGAGAAGAATTCTGCAAAACCTGAAAACACGGTATTAAAGGCTCAAATTGTAAGGCAGAGGCCCTTTGAGACTTTGGCACCTAAGAGAAAATATTATGTGCTGTTAAGCCCATCCCAGGGAAATCCAGTTTTCTGGTAGTGTGAGCCATTCTTCCGTGTTCAATATATATATTTAAAAATAATAACATCAACAGTGATAATCACTGCATTGTAACAGGTCTTACTATTAAAGGCTGAGGCAAAGAAGGCATTAGGTACTTCAGCCTTGTCCTTATCCTTGGTCACCAAGCTGCCCTTGGCATCCAACAACAAGGAGAGACTGAAGGAGCTGAGGCTGTTTAGTCTAGAGAAAAGGAGGCTGAGGGGAGACCTTATTACTCTCTTCCAATACCTGAAAGATGAGAGCAGGGTTGGTCTCTTCTCACAAGTGACAGGATGAGGGGAAATGGCCTCAAGTTGTGCCAGAGGAGGTTTAGGTTGGATATCAGGAAACACTTCTTTACAAAAAGTGTTGTTAAGCACTGGAATGGGCTCCTCAGGGAGGTGGTTGAGTCACCATCCCTGGATGTGTTTAAATACCATTTGGATGTGGTGCTCAGGGACGTGATTTAGCAGAGGGTTGTTGGAGTTAGGGTAGTATGGTTAGGCCGTGGTTGGACTCGATGATCTTTAAGGTCTTTTCCAACCTGAATGATTCTATGATTCTGTTGTAATATCTGTACCTGTAGGATGCATATCCCTTTGCTGGAATGTAGAAGAGCAGTGAACCAGTAGAAATAGGGAGTTTTATACCAGAAGAATAATATATTCAGAAAGTCTTTGCTATTGTGAGAAGCTGCCAGTGGCTGAGGTAGGGCCTGTATTACTGTCTTCAGGCAGCTTTAGTGGTTTCTGTCCATAAAAGAGGGAGTGAAAGGAGCCCGTGAGCTGAGAAAAACATGCAGCAGTGCTTTCTATTTTGACAAAGGAATTTGGGAAGAGGTATCAAGATTGGGAAAAAAAAAAAAATCAATTTTTTGGGTATATTTGTGACTCGATTTTCAGTCGACATAAATACCATGAATCCGTGAATTTTCAAATGGAATGTAGAGAAAATCAGATATTCAACTCAAGAATCTGATCATGTTTCTCTACCAGAGAGAAACACCTCGCTGCACAATCTGCCTCATCAAGTCATCACTTTCAGGCAGTACAGACATTTGAGAAGAACTGCTTTCAAGGATGAAGCACAGGGAGAGTAAAATGTCATCAGAAATCTCTGATGAATGGCTCAGAGCTCACTGAGAATTGCAGCCACTGCCATCAAACCGGCCTGATGCAGCAGTGTCACAAAAGCCTGGTCACATATCCTACTGGTGTGACGTTTTTGTTGCTCTTTTTTAGTATTTTAAATATTTTTT